GGCAGGAACAGTTTGGGATCATTAGATAGGAGTCCTGGCGGCACAGCAGGTTAAGCTGTTAACTGGTTTGTGCCTACCAGCCACTCTTCCGATGAAAGTCCAGGCAATTTGGTTCTGTAAAGGTTTACAGCCGATTGACGTAGTCAGTTCTACTCTGCCCTGTAAGGTCCCTGTGAGTCAGCAATGTATTATCATCAGAGTGCAGTTGTCTTATTCTAGAATCCTTTAGACCAGTGGTTCTCAACCTTCCTAATGCCGTGACCCTTTAATACAGTTCCTCATGTTGTGGTGACCCCCCAACCATAAGATTCTTTTCATTGCTACTTCATAACTGTCATTTTGATACTGTTATGCATCGGGGGTTGGGGGGAGACCCCTGTGAAAGGGTTGTTCACCCCCAAAGGGGTCGTGGCGACGCGCAGGTTGAGAACCGCTGCTTTAGACAATAATCCCAGGGCAAGCCCTGTAGTTTGGCCTTTCAGTAAGAAAAGGGGGACTGTCAAAATATGAACATAGCAGGGATCTGCTTCCAACTCAAACACAGTGAGACGAAGATACCATACAATGTCAAAGTAATTGCATTTAAAAGACGAGGCTTGGCTTGCCTCTTTCTTCCGTGGGGTGGTGGCAGATTGATTAAGAAATAAGTAAGGCAAGTGTGTCTGTCTCCCAGTTTGCCCTGGGTGGGATTGATGAGGACGGGTGAGGCGGCCTCTCCCGATTCAATCTCCTCAGAGAATCTTGCAGGTTTCTCTTTGCTGTAGTAGAAAGCCATCATATCACCACAGCCACCTTTCTTAAGCGCTGGCGTGATGTGTCATGCCACGTGAAGGCCGTTGTCCCTGCAATACTTTCTTCACCCACTGTTTCACTTCTGCAAAAGAAAACACAAAACAAAAACTTGCCAGCTATTTCTGGGAATAAAGTCAACGGCAGATAAGATATCTAATGGCAGATAGATATCTAGACTTAGGGTGGGATTGGGGGTTTGTGCAAGAGCCGCAAAGTATAGAGAAATTGTTAGACTAGCAAAACAGATCACATGTGAAATACTTAAAAGCTCATCTCACCCTGAAACCCAAGACAGGTTTGATAGGTTTGTTTGTGATTTGGGTGAAAGTTTCAGAGCAAAGCGGTTTTCCATTCAAGAGTGCATGCGCCTTGTGTTTTGTGACTCCCACTGCAACCCCACAACGTAGCAGCAGTATTCTATTTCCGCCCTCTGCTTCCCGGCTCCGTTCCGCGTCCTCTCCTGCCCCTCCTGCCTTTCTGGGCTTCATCCCTGGGCAAATGCTGCCCGTTTGAACTCCTGTGGCCCATAGTTCTGAGTAGTGCCTACCTCCCTGGGTGTCGTTGTTCACCTTATGGGCCTCTCCCCTGTGTGGCTGGACCTGGATCCACATGGGTGAGTTCAGTTTGAGCCTCCAAGGGTGACCAAGAGCCAAAGTCTCGGGGTGGGGTGGGGGGTGTGGGTGTAATGTGTTTCTCATTTACCCGTCTGTCTGACTTTGCCTCTTTCATGCAAAACTACCTCAAGGCAAACACCAAAACAAGTTGAACTTATCCTTAAGTTAGGGTTGCATAAAATATGTGTGATGTTTGATAAGGTTCATAAAAAAAAAAAAAAAAGGAAGTTGAAGGTTTTGCCTCAGGGCAACCCTTCACCAGCTATCTTGACTGATAGAGAAATAAATGCTAAGCGATATGTGTCTGCACTTCATTAAGGCATTCACCAGGAAACTATAGGATGTATGTTTAAATGGCACTATTCCAAAGACCCCAGTTGCTGGTAATGGATGCCGCAGGGAAGGTGTCACAATTCCATTTGGAAAAATGACAATAGTACTCATGTATTAATTTACTATCAAGACTTCCTACCACAACCCCCAAACTTCCAGACTGACCAGAACAAAAAGCTTTAATTTGGTTATGTGGGGGTGTGGGTGGGAGAGACCCACTTGCTTCTCTTTGTATGAGAGGAGAGAGATTGGATGAGATGGCAAACATCAGAGAATGACCGTTCTGAAAGTGGAACCTGGTGGCACCGTAGGTAAAGTGCTGGCAGGGCTGCTGACTGAAAGGTCAGCAGTTCAAACCTCCCAGCAGCTCCCTGCGGAAAGATGTGGCAAGCTGCCTTGGAGACCCTGGGGGTGGGGGTGAGGGGTTGTGCCCCTGTCCTATAGGGTCGCCCAGAGTTGGAATGTAGTTGGCAATGGGTTTTTGCATTTTTTAAAACATGAACGCTTTGTTTTAATCGGTGCATTTCTATGGCCACACGCGTTGATTTTCATGAGGGCCTCTTACTGGCCTTTTTGTCTAAACTTAATTTCAGGCCTGGTATATCACTTTAACCATAAACTTGGGCAGAAGTTATGCTTATGTATAGACTGCAAGCCGAACCTTTGGTACATAAATTTAAGATGTAAACTATATCCCTATTCCATCTGAATCATGAGTTAGTTCCTTGCTGCTTTTTGCAATTTTTTTAAAACTTAAAACTAGTAATAATCACATCTACCCTATCCAGTGTCTTTTAATTGGGCTACCAAACACTGAATGTAAACAATGGATCCATAGAAGCAACCCCACCCCCACCCCTTCCTTGTAAGTTGAGTAATTACCTTCAGTTTTACAGTCTGTCCCCACCCCTCAAATGTAGGATCCCTGTGTGGTACAAACGGCTGAGGGTTCAGCTACAAACTGAAAAGCCGGAGGCTTGAATCTACAGAGAGATGCTCCAGAACAAATGCCCGGAGACCCGCTTCTGAGTGATCACATTCTTTCAGGAGCCAGTGAGGCGCCCTTCTTCCCCAACACACTTGCGGTGGCCCTGTGTCAGATGTCCATAGCAACCCGTTTGGTTCGGGGTTGGTCCCTGAATGTAGATAAGTCCCTGAATGAGCCCCGAAGGAAGGACAGGGATAAAAGTGGATTCTGGGAGGAGAGAGAAGGAACAAAGAGATAGCCAGCATTTTAATGTGGCAGCTTCCATGCTGATAAGGAACAAATCCAATGCTGCATCTTTTTTGTCATTGTACAGTGAGCGATGTGGACGATAGCACTCTTATTCATAGATATAATAACTAGATCTAAAAGTTATCCACCACTTAGCCAAAAGAGTGCACTCTCATCTGAGCTAGGCTTGAATAACATTTTCATTGGAAGCTAGAATATGGCCAGAGAAGAGGAAATGTGGATGCAATGTATTGGTGGCAATACTTTGGGGATGTGTTTGTGTATACATATATTAAAGACTCATTGCCATTGTGTATACACATGTACATATAGATTCACTGCCATTGTGTATACACATAAACATATTATAGATTCATTGCCATTGTGTATACACATAAACATATATTAAAGTCACTGCCATTGTGTATACATATAGATATAGATTCACTGCCATTGTGTATACACATACACACATATTATAGATTCATTGCCATTGTGTATACACATACACATATTATAGATTCACTGCCT